TCAGGTTTTATTATAAATATCTTAATTTTAGTTTTTAAGGTGAACGAGTCTTAAGCCTTCTACACACTACACGATTTTAGCAATCCTATAAGATTATTACAAATCACACATGTGCAACATAGATCTAATAAACTTGGGTACGACATGTAGCCTATGCAGACTGTATGACGATGACGCCTATAGTGACTCGTAGACTACAACGCAAGTTACAATTGTAGAATAAAACATTATTAGCATGCACTAGTGGTAAACAAAAAGAGCATGAGAAAGCACAGTTGGCAGTTGTAGTTTTTTTTTGTTTGCTGAAAAAAAGAGAAAGCTGTAAAAGTGGAAGTTAAAGTGCTCCTATTATGGGTAATAAAAGTTCACTACGCACATTTTGATTTTGGAAGTCCCCAACAACAGGTTGACATGCAGGCAAGGTCAAAAGCACTTTCATTGTCATATAATATGCATTTATTATTACCTTATTTGCTCAACGACTCCCAAACGATTTGTTTAACGATTCATTTTTCCAAACCCCTCCTTTGCATGACGCTGACCTCATACGTCATCCTCCCGGAGCTGCTTCCGTGTACAACAGTGAGCGCAAGCTACATTAAAGTGATTAGGTTTTAAATATGGTTATTTTTCTTACAAAAACGCATCGATTCGCAACAGGAAGCCTTTGTTCACCCCCCGGAGTCGTGTGAGACACTTTTTTTTTTAAATGGATTGGTTCTTTTTATTTAACTTCTTTTGGACTGAAGCACTGCAACACCCGCTGACTGCAATGATAGAGCTTGGAATGGCCAGGACAATTTTTAATATAACTCCGACTGGATTCGTCTGAAAGAAGAAAGTCATATACACCTAGGATGCCTAGGGTGAGTAAAACACAGCCTAATTTTCATTTTTGGGTGAACTAACCCTTTAATGTCATCATGCCTGTAATGCCTGATAAAGCAGCATTTGTTAGCGCAGTGCTGCTTTGTGTACAGTGTTACTGGGGAAACAGCTATTTTACCGCTCCAAAAGTGGCACCTAATGGCAAATAAGGAATTTGCATGTTCATTAGCGCAGTGCTGCTTGCATGAATTAGCATTTTTAGTCACACCAACGCGAAAAGACCAAGAAGTTGGCAGGCAATATGCTAATGTTTCATGTTGACGTCAACATGAAACAGCTTGGGATTCGTTTTAAAAACGACTCCTTTTAATGATTCAGAGTCGACTCTTTCTTTTGAGAGACAATAACTTTATACATGGTGCACTTTCAGATTCAAAACTTTGCAGGATGTTTTCATTAATTTAGAGTTGTGTTACACACTGCATGAAAGGTAATCCATAATAGGAGCACTTTAAAATACTTTGAGGTAAGCAGTTTTAAGTTTTAACACCATGCTGCATTGATCAACATGCCATTTCATGTTGCATTTTTATTGGCTGGTCAGTAAACAGGGGTCGTAGCAGCAAACACACTGTGCCATGTAATTTCTGACACTGTCAGAAAATGATCGCAGGATATCTTTGGTTGCAAGACCTTGACAATGGCCGACTTTGAACCTGTCTCACTGTACAACGTTGGACCCATGACCAGGAAATTGTTAAGGAGCCACGATCACAGAACTCTCCATGATTGTTTTCCACAATGCCAATCTTTCATCTGGGACAGACAAAATTGTGCAGTGTGTAGAAGGCTTAAGGGATTGGAATGACATGAGGGTGAGTAAACGATGACAGGATTTGACATTTTTGGACGAACTATCACTTTAATAATTAAAGGGATCATGTGATGAGGAAGCAATTTCGCCTTAAAAAAATAATACACTATGAAAAGCTTTCAGAACTCATAAAGAGCAAAGGACAGTTTTAAAAGAAAATATATTGAAATGTAGCAGGGTCAGACTAACTATATGTGCATTTGGGCACATATGCGCCACTTTTAGGGTGGGCCATATAAATCCAGTCACCATGAAGTAATATAAAAGGAGCATTAGAGATTCATTATTCTTCCTAAACACCAGAATAACTAACTTTAAGAGTAATATGCAGTGAAGGGGTCATATCACATGCTGACTAATTATTATTATTATTTTTTTTTACAAACTGTAAAGTGCCCTCACCTGCTTTAGGGTAAGTGGCGATTAGAATGTCATCAGGTCTTGCCTGAAAGTTTTTCACCTTTTCCCAGTTGTCGGTGAAGTAGTGGGTCATAGAAATTCCCTCAAAATCAAACAGCTCTGGTCGATTAGTTAGATTTATCTGTAATATTGAAAGGTGTCAGTTTAATGTTAAAGCTACACAGCAGTGAATGGTCATTAGAAAGTCAGCATTGGTTTATAACAGTCAATGTGAAAAGATTTCAGAACTCATAAAGATTTCAGATTATCAATTAATATGTAATACATTTTGAAATAAATCATGTATTTCACTGTCATCACTTTCATGAATAGAATTATATTTTATGAACAGAAGTACATATGTTGAATAATGACAGGGATATTCTTATGATGTGAAGCATTAAAACTTCTATTGTGTATTTACATTGTATGTGTTTCAAAGTCATGTTGATAGCTAAATGATTTATTGTTTATATCTTGCTAGTTCTTACTTCCAAATATTCACACCCAAAGGTGAATGAAACAGCTGTTAATACAGGGGTCTCCAACTGTCTAACCCTTCTCAAACAACTGAACCAGATAATTAAGGTTTTCAGGATTAGTTGATGATACAGATGTGTTGGAGGACAGTTGCAACTGAAGTTTGCAGGACTGTAGCCCTCCAGGAGCAGGATTGGAGATCCCTGTGCTAATCTATTAATGTAGGTCAAGTATTTCCTCAACTATCCTAAAATACTTCAAAGAAATATATTTACTTACTGATGATATGTCAGGGATTTCCATTATGATGAAAAGGTGTTGTTCCTTTAAGTCGGTTTTCTCAATCCTGCTTTTTTTCTTTGCTCCTGCTTCTGCTTTCCTCAAATGTCCCTTAATAAGACATGGGCTCCCCTGAAAACGTGATTTGTGAAATTTTGGTGGGTCTCAAAAAATATTGACAATGTGTTATTTTGACGTGCAATTTCAGTTTTGTGTAATGTGATCATCGTGGATTATTATGTGTAAAATTGCAAAATATATAATTCATTCATGCATGATGGCGATTTAAACCTAATTAACTTCAATAAAGATAACTATACATGCTATTCTTGTCATGAGCATCAAGGTGTGGGGGCACTGCGGTGCAAATTCCACTCATGTTTAGTACATGTTAACTCAAAGATTCGTAGAAAAAATATAAACGTTGGACTCTGGTCGATTCTGTGTTAAGGTAAGGCATGTTATTCGCAATTATGTGTTGTGGCTGGGTTGTTATACGTCTGCGTGACTCGATGTCTTAGGCCTAACTGAACGGAGGAATTAGGGTATTCTTCTGTAGCCTGACGACGAGTAACTACGTTAACTGTTGTTCATGTGAATTCAAAGACAGCCTGATGCTTTGTTTATAGACTATTTGTGGGTGACTGTTTGTTGATTCGCTTATCAATTTGTGTCGATAAAGTATAATAGGGTAAATTCTATATAGTGATTTATCCTATATAGTGCTTGCATAAAGCAAGTAGTGCATACACTTGTAGCTGTTATGTGTCTTTGTAAGTCATTGTAAGCCCTCTTTTGAAGCATGCAAAGCATCCAGCCGGCCATATAATGTACATTCTTTGCTACTTTGCTTCAGGGTCCTGATCACCCTGTTAGGTTTTATTTTGTGATAACATCAACTGAATAGATATTGTTTATTCCTTATTAAATGGCAAATAGCTAGGCAAGTAAGTAATTGCTGTGAATTATTATGGTATATTCTTCTCTTTCTTAGGTCCATATGCGTAAGGTCAATATTCCTCAACTGTGCAGCCAAATCTTGTCTGTAACCTATATGGCATTCTTCATTGGACTTAATACTGACAACTGTCACGGGATGTCTGCTGTGCAGGAGCAAAGAACGCGGAGACACAGGAGATTCACGAATCACAGTCTGTAATAATCAAAAGAGGGGTAACACAGGGCAGGCAGGAACACACACACAGAGCACATATTATAGACATAGTAATACTATAGTACTAGCACATAGTAACAGACACCACTATATATACACAAGACTAAACAAGGGTAATTGACGTGACACACCTGAACCAAATGAACACAGTCAAACAAGGGAGAAACTGGGTCACGGGGAGTACATGGGGAGAAAACACAACAACACAGGAACATAGGTCTGACAACAACTACTGGAATGGACGTGGCATCATCCACACATTTCTTAAAACAGGGAATATCTTTAGAGAGAAAAAGTGGGCAGTACTCGGCTGCCCTTCATCTGCCCACATGAGGTAGAATAAAACAGCTTGATTTAGGCTATCTCGTGAGTAAATGTCATTTTAAACATGCTTAAAATTACTGTTCATTTCTTGTTAATACATTTTGTATTATGTTTAAAACCTTTTAAATTAAAGGAACCTCATTTTTAACTTTATGTAATATTTTTAAAATGAAGATTGTTAATGGGATCCGTTATGTAGGATGTACAGTATAGAATACAAACATATGCTTTTACTTATGTGCTGGACATGTTTAAAAACATTTTATGGGATGTAGGTGGTATGATGCTGTGTATTTAAATGTGCACTACTAAGCCATGTTTATTTGTTTTGCTGACCAAACAAACAACATAAGTGTAGTGTAGTGAACATTTATATATTTATTTATTTTTATAAATGTATTGTTACTTTCTGTAGATATAAAACATTTGTACGGTTGCAGTTTATTTTACAATATATGTATTTACATGTACTTACAGTGTACCTAAGAAAGTTATGGTAATATAAGGTAACTACATGGGGTAGGGTTAGGTTTAGGGGTAGGCTCAGATGCGTATCCAGCCCAGATGGTAAATCAGCACCTAGAGATGACCTCTACAGCCCTGAATGTCAGCAGAGACCAGAACAAGATGAGCCCCAGAGACAGATCCCCAGTGAAGACCTTGTCTCCTAGACAGTCACCGGGACAAGACCACAGGAACCAGAACCAACCTGCTGGTTCATCTGGTCAGAGGAGCACTGGCCTCCTGACTGAGCCTGGTTTCTCACAAGGTTTTTTCTCCATTCTGTCACCAATGGAGTTTTGGTTCCTTGCCGCTGTCGCCTCTGGCTTGCTTAGTGGCTGACACTTATTTTCCAGCAATATCGTTGACTTGATTGCACAGATACTATTTCAACTGAACTGAGCTGGATGATGACATCACGGAATTCATGCCTTTAACTGAAAATTGAGTGTTTACTGTTATCCTTTTGCATTATTGACACAC